ACCTTAATCCTTACCCAAACGCCCAGAAATTCGATGTTTATAGGCAGGTGAGTGAGGCTGATCTTTCCCACCTGCTGACCTGCACAGCCATTGGGAGCCTCATTCAGCAAAAGAGCCCACAGCTGGTTTAGGTGCAAATCAGTGATTGACAGTGATTTTCCCCAGCTGAGTGAGAATCGAGCCCAAAAAACTGGCATCACCAAACAAATAATTCCAACTTTTAAATCATATAGCAACTGTTGCTCATAGAACAAGCTCTGGGTTTATTTGTTTCCTAAAATTTAAGAAAAATATTAACTGAGGTGAGCGCTTGTACGATGGACTCTAGGCTTCCACGCAATACAGATTTGCTAGACACATGACTTGCAATGACCCTTTTCTCCCTCCCCCTTCACCACATCTTCATTTTTTTACCTTGAATTTTGCTTCTCTTCAGAGTTTTCTTCTAACTTTCTCCTTGCCTTTCCCAGGTTGCCAAAGGATGTGGATTCTTTGGGAAATTTCCAACAGGGTCCCCCAAATGTGTGGTGTTTAGATCTGTTAGTCTACAGCCGCTCACAACATAAGTTCAAGTCAGTAGAGTAAAAATAAAATAAAATAAAATAAAATAAAATAAAATAAAATAGCCTGAGCACTGTGGTCACTCTATTGCTCCAGTAACATGATTGCCTCTGGAAGAAATGCTCCACTTGCCACCAAGCCAACAGCTTTTAACCTTTCTTAGAGGAGAAGTATACCTACATTTGAACAGATTTTAAGAAGAAATTTGTTCTCTTTCAGCACACGGTTTAAACTCAAATCCATATTAAGTGCTTAAACCAGTAATAAATGTTCCTCTTTTGTGTTCATTTTTGAGACTCTCAAAATATTTTTCTTTTCAGAGCTACTGTTGAATGCAAGTTTACGGGAAGCAGTGCTGTCAAACCTAGTATTAAGAGCCAAATCTTCACCTACTGAAATTCAGTATGCTTGGCCCTTTCCCTGGAAGGATGCTGATTTACACAGGTGAGAACCCAGGTTTAAGTGTTTTATTCTATCAGCAGATGAAGAGAAAGTGAGTTGCTCTGCTGAGACTTCATCTACAGTGCAGCAATGGTTATCAAAGCAAGGCAGATATTGGGAATTTCACTTTGCAAGACAAATATTGCACACATGTAGCTGTAACTCAGCATAGAAACGTTCTATCAAGTTTCAACTCTGAAATTAAAAAGCACAATTACCTTTTTTTTTTTTTTCCATTGCAATAGGAAAACATGACATACTAAGAAATAAAAGCAATGCATTCTTCAGATTGCAAGCAGATTGCCCGTGGGTTGCAAGCAAATAGAAGAAAACTGAGTCACTTTTTTTTTTTTTTTGTATGAAAATAAAGTCATTTCTAAACTAATGGATCGATAGAACAAGACGCACGACAAGTGCTGTGCCACAGATGTCACTTCCGCAAAAGTTCGTCAGCAAAAGAGCACGATAAAAGGAAGGTATAGGCACTCGATTATCCGTTCCATGTACAACCACCTTCGCAATGTAAACATCCCGGAGAAGCTGGAATATTTGGGATCACACATTATTCCTTTGTTTAAGCACTCGGGCAAAGTTCCGTTGGAAAATCAAGGGCACAGTTTGGTCTTCAAAGTTTTCAGGGATTTCTGCAGCTTTTCCTACCCCAACTTGCCAGATATGAGAAGTGGAAGGGTCGGATCTGCAGGTGGTGCAAATAAGCACAGCTCTGTGAGAGCTCTGAGGTTATGCTCATTTACATCACATGGAAATGATGTTTCTCGCTTCTTCTGTGAGTAACTGCGCATGTATATATATGTATATATATTCATGAGTGTGTGGTGAATACATATTGTATAGAAAGTGAAAGCTTTGATCTGTCGAAATGAAGATATAAATATAAAACAGGAGACAGAATATGGAAATCATACATTCGGCATTTACTTTGAAAAACCGAAAAGTTATGGGGAAAGAAACATTGTCGATGTTCAAGGAGAGCCTGGTGATTTGCTTAAATAATCTAAAACGAAACCACCATCACATGAAAGATTTAACAGCCTCCTGCCGTGGTTGACAGGCTCGAGTTATGACTTGTTAACTTTTATACAGACAAATAATTACTAGACAGTGACAGATCCATTGAGGATTCCTACTTCTACAGTATAGACCCTGGTGCAGCAAAGCATTCAAGATGGTTAACTTTAAGCAACTGAATAGTCCCAGGGAGTCTGGTAAGCTAACTCACCTGCTTAAAATTAGCCGCAGATTTAATTTGAGATCTGAATTTTTAACTCCGTTATTAAGCAGCAAAGCACTTCAACCTGTACATAAAGCAGCTGCTTTCCATAGGGCTTACACACATGCTTGAATACTTTTCTGAAAGAGTAGCGTGTGGGTTTGAGTCTTCAAGAGGGTGAACATCTTAGACGGAGTCCTGCAGAGCGTTCAAACAGGTGAACACAGTCTATGCATGGGAATCGGGGAGCTCCGACGTTTTGGTTTTTTTTATTTTTGTAAGTTAAATCACCCTTCCAAACTTTACAGCACGTGGCAAGACTAAGCCAGGGGAACACTGAAGATGGAGAACGTGTAAAGTTAATCCCCAAAAATATACCGCATTCACAACTTATTCCACAAGCGCAGCTTTAGTTTAAATTACTCAGCCCAGTGGTTTAGACTATAATATGAAAAAGAACGAATATGTTTTGTGAAAGCAATGACTCCTCAGGAAAGGAGGGCTTCAATCCCCCGCTCTGAGCTGAGCTGCTCACCCACCTGTGCTCCGGAGGATGCTCGGGGCAAGGGGTGAGAGCCTCCTCGCTCTGGTACCCCCGAGCAGGGAGCAGCACTTGCGGATTCGCACCCTTGTAGCTACCCAAGCATCTCCTTGCACCTCTTCTCGAGCATGTTCCTGTGCAGCTGCTAATATCTTAAATCGGTAATAAAAAGGAGGGGGTTTTGCCATGCCAACAGGTGCACGCTTTCTTCTAAGCGTCTTTACGGATACGTAGATGTGCACGGTCTATTTGCACAGCGATTTCTGTCGTAACTAATTAGTGTATTCATGGAAGGTGGGGAAAAAAAAATCCAAGGAAGAAACGTCTATTTTTTTTTTCCTGTGGCCATCGTTTTGTTAAGATGATAGGAAAAAGTATGACAAAAGAAGAAAATCGTAAGCTTCTGTGGGCCAAGTCTCTAAGCAGGATAAGTCTAGTCAGCTGACTAGAGCATTATTCATTTTTAATTAGTTTGAAGCAAATAGTGCAGTTTGTGCCAAGCTGCAAAATCGCACTGTCTTCACGAGGAGCCAGCTTGACAACAGAGACAAATTAATCCCTGCAAGAGCATTCCTTCTGTAAACTCTCCATTAATATTCCTCATCTAAGAAGGACTATACTGAGTACGCTCTTCCATCAGGCTGTTTCTGTATCACAGTTTGACTTTTCTCCCCTACTGCTTAAACCCAGAAATGTAAAAATTCAGGGAACTTTTATCCTGCCAAAAATATACTTGTTGCATAATTATGCAAATCAAATTAGAAGCAGTCAATGGAATGTTTATTTACCCCGACCCAGATTGCCTGTTGACTGTCTTAGGATGTGAAGGCATTTTTGCCTCTGTCCAGACATAATTTTTCACCTTTAATGTAGGAAGTGATTTTGCTGCACCGAGATCTACAGCCTTTTCCGAATAGCAGGGTTCTAATAAAGTGAAGAAATCCAGCTACAAAGGGAAATTACAACCTAGCTATAGGGATACATTTAAGAAGACACTAAATTATCCCAACTCTGATAGTGATGGTCCATTAGCAACAGCGGGCAGGGGAGGGGGGTGGATCAGTTTTCTTGGGCATTCGAACTACTATTTGGGAAGGAAACAATGTGGTTTGGTTTTGTTTAGTGATTTTTTGGTTGGTTTTTTTTTGTCATATGAAATTGCCCCGGTAATATTTGCAGAAGACGACATTAAATTTGCTATATGTGTTGCTCTATCTTTGTCCTCTGTGTTTCACAGACCAAAAAAAAAAAAAAAAAAAAAAAAAGGCATTTTACAGCCATTTCTACCAAGGTTATAGACATGGCCATTAAAATGTTTCTCTTTACAAAATCAATGGGGAAAAAAAAAACAACCAAAAACCAAAAAACCCAACCAAACAAAACCAGAGTCAGGAGCTTAGCCTTGTCATTCAGGGATATGACTTCAACAGAGCGCGCTGCATCCATTATGCAGCAAATTCCTTGAAATCTTAAAGAGATGGCACCAGAGGGCACAGTCCCTGCAAAACCATTATCTCCTGCCCATTAACGCTCTTCCTGGTTTCACTTCTTCCAGCCATTGGTTCCTCCCCATTTTCAGTTGTGTACACACGGCATAAAATAGAGCTGATCCGTTTTTCTTAAAAGCTTTCCCCTTAACCTAAAACCTGTTTATCAAAGCATTTATATATATAATATGCAGGTCATATATAGAACAGATATATAATATCTATTATATATATAACAAAACACAGAAGGTTAAATAAAAGGAGCCACACAGTGCAGCAGACACGTAAAAAACACAACTCAATAATCCTGTGCTTAAACTTAGAAACTGTGTGGAAGTTTAAACCCTTGTTAGAAGGAAAAGGTTTTCTTTGTTTGTTTGTTTATTGTTTGAGGGATTTTAGTTATAATTCACATTTAAGACATTTGTTACTGCTATGCTAATACCAGCTGTTAAATTCTCTGAGTGAACTGCCACCTTGACTATAAAATCGAGTTCTGGGGAAAGGAGAGATCTGAGCATGGTGAACTTTTCTAGCAAGGAACAGGTAAGTTTTTTGCTCTTTAAAAGAAAAAAACAAAACAAAACAACAAACCAGTAAGGGAATAAGTGTTGAAATCAGTGGAATAAAACGTACGGCCCTCAGTCCCAGTAACTGGTCTTCTTTGGCACTTGAGAACGATCACAAGTAGTTTGCCTTTTTATTCATATAGAACAAAATTTACAAAGTCATTCATACATTTTTGTTTTTTTACTGACTTCGAAAATTGGGAATATTCAAAATACACTTTAACCCCACTTCATTCTTTCATTATTTACAGGTATATACAAGAAAAACGTTAAGAGTTTGTGGGTTTTATTTTTTTGTTGTTGTTTGTGGGTTTTTTTGTTTTTTGTTTTTTTGTTTCTTTTACATTTTGTATTAAAAAGCTCTGCTGGTTGTTTTACTGTTTGTTTTTGTCATATGGATGTTCCATGAGAGGGCTCCATTGCTTCTGGAATTACTCCCCCTGGCACAGACTGAAATGACATTGGGATCGGGGTTTTCACGGGACTCTGACGAAATAGTCCTCCATTTGGTGACCTGTGTTTACACTGTATGGAGGGCATGGTGGCCGAGCTGCTCAGGGGCAGCGGCAGGTTGCTGCCAGAGGCAGCTGTCAGTGTCCTGCTGGCACCATGAGTTGTCTGTTCTGGTAAAAAGGTGGTGACAGAAAGTTGCGTGTTCTGGTATTCGCGTACCGGCTCCAGGGTCTGAGCTGGCTGCATGCCACCGATCTCCAGGGCTGAGATTTCAATGGACGCTGGAGAGATTTGCTTGTGGGCTATGTCTTCATCAATTAAACTGTTCATGCGTCTGTGGACCTGCTCCAGGTTCACTTCTTTGTCCTAGTGAGGAAGAAATCAGAACAATCAGTCCAAACACAATCTCCAATCCCATCCGGCCCCCCTCCACTGCCTCTGTGTGACAGGAGCTGCGGTTCACTCATTACACTGTTTTGATTTCATCGGTGCCTATGCAAAACCGTGAGGTCTGCCCATCATCTCCAGCTGAGAAACACATGCTGAAGAAACCACCAGCCCAATCTCAGCCTGCAAAAGCCCCTGATTTTGTCAATCCCGTCCTCCTCAGAGGTAAACCGATGCCTAACAGGAGCTGGCACTGGGGACCAGCACGTCCCACAAGCCCTTCGCTCACCTTGCTCAAGCCTAGAAAAAAAGCGTCTGGCAGGCAAACAAGCCACCTGGGATGCCAAACTCCAGCGAGTATCTCGCCACTGTCTCATCTAGTTGCAGTGCATTTTCTAAGGAACACGTCAGTAAAACACTGTGCACAGCCTAGTTGACCCCAGGGTAGTTGCTTCAGGTGCCGACATCTACTGGCCAGGGGTTGTAGTTGTGAAGGAGCCTTCTCCTCCTGGAAGGAAGCCCTGCGTCACCTACGGGGCACAGACTATACACCTACTGGAACAGCACTAGGAGATGCCTACTCTGGGAGCCCTGGGAAGGAGACCTCTCATTTATGTCCCCAACAGTTGTGTGACCAACTATATGCTCGTCTGTCACCTTGACACATCATCTGGTAAAAGTCTGTGGTCAGAGCTTGGGAAATTAATGCTGGTCTTTAAAAAAAATGCATCACCGACTCCTCAGAATGCATTGCCTAAGGCTCCCAGAGCAGGGTCTTCAAAGGCCTTTTTGGGACCACTGACTCAACGTGGTTTAGTTTCCATGAGGAAATACAGCAGAAGAAGTTGTCTTTAAACCCTGAAGCAGCAAAGACCGACAATGGGCTGTTTGTCACCCTGGCGCAGCATTCAGGCGGCTCCAACTGGAAAGCAACAAGACTGGCAGAGTAAAGTCAACCACCAGGGATGCTGTATGACAGAATTTTTAATAGCTAGCGTTGTATTGCCAATAAAAAAGTATTATATTATATCATTTCTCTATATTTCGTAAAGCACGGCTATGATCTGCTGTCGCAGTTATTTGATGCAAGTGTACCTACGGTACGGCAGACTAGCAGCAAAGCATCTATAAAAGCCCAACGATCCTGGAACTGGAGAAATTCCCTGGTCTGACAGAAACTCGTAATGATGCTGGGCAGCCAGCAACACTCCAGCCTGAGAAGCAGGACTGCCTGCAACTTTTGTGTTCCGGTAATCCTCGACTGCCCACAGATCAACGTGTTTAAATGTTGGTTAAACCCAACACCAGCAGTCTTACCGCTCTGATTCGTACCAAAAACCAGGCTCTGGGAATAAGGTGTCACTACATACACCCCACGATATTTTGCCACTGGTGTTCAGGCGGAGCACAGAGAATTACAATTTTATTCCAGTGGTACCCACTGCTATGCAACTTTGCTTTCACCTGTAATGTGACAAGTCAACTACAAAGCCCTCGATTCCTGTCAACGCCAACCACACATTTTGGATCTAACTTTGTGATTTAACACCACCTTCCACACTGCTTAAGAACCATTGCATTTGCTGATCTCTGCATGGATTTGGAAATTAATTAGTGTTACATGATGGTGAGCCCCAACCCGTGTCCTTAGCTTAGGCTAAATCCATATTGATTTCAACGGAAGTACAATTGTTCAACAATTACAGGTCTGAGCTGCACGTTGCACCTCCTTTGCTAATCAGCAGAAAATGAATTCCGATTTCATTTACATCACAAATCCACCAAAATCCCAGTGAAGCTCCCAGAAACCCAAGGGATATTGTCTTCCTACCAAAGAAACAAACTGTTTTGTTTTGTTGTTTTTTTTTTTTTTAAATATACTGCTTTTTCAGCCAGCTCCTCTAATCAGACTATTCTGAGTTAGACAAAATCCATGGACAATATAAAAAAAACCCAACTTTTGTGGCAGGAAGGGACCACACAGTATTTGATCAGATAACCCCTGCAACTGCAGCAAGTCCTTCCTGCCAACAGCCGTACCTGACCTGTCAGGCTCTTCGTTCAGTAAGTGAGACAGTGCACCAAGCTGATGACAACACAGAGCCTAGTCCATAAACTCTCTAGCTAGGCAGGTTAAGGATTTGTAGTACAATGGCCGGAGGGTTACCTGGATTTAATTAATAAATGTATTTACTTCTATTTCTTGAAGTGAAATGGCAGATGGGCAGTGAAACCTCGCCAAGTTCTGCTTGGACATCACCTCCAGCTACCAACACGTGTGCTGACACCTGTGTCTAAGGACGTTAAACTCCAGAAGCCTGTTATATAACGCTTCTTTAGGTACCCCATACTAGTTCTTTTCTCAAAAACGGTGCTAGCTTTGATTTAGACTCTCAGGTTGGCATTCTAGTTATCTGGAACCTATATTCTTGTTAAGCCCCTACTACAAAGTAAGAAAAGCAGAGAACTCGGGGTAGGACTGAGCGCACACCAGAAGAAATTTTCCTAAATAAACCTTCGGAGAAACGTCCATGGCTCATTTGTGGTTTTCTAAGCTTTTGTCAAATACTAATGACTTCCTCAGATCGCTTCAAGTGAAAATATCTATCAACATTTTATTTGCGTTTGTATTTTTGATTGCAAGGGCATACCGGGTACATTCCATCCTGCTCTGCTGCAAGAACAAACAGAATGTGATTGGGATAGTCACGTCGAGGCAGAGGGAAAGCTAGCTTCAGTATTTGCACCATGCAGTCATTAACTGTTTGCAGAGGAAAAATACATTTGTGAATGAAGTGTGCTCTTCATTTGGAGCATCTGTGCACAAAAGGTCGTAAAACTTAAAGAATTAATTAATCCTGGCTATGTATTTAGCTCAGCTCTTTTAAGACGTAAACACGAAGAGCCACAGATGGGATGCTCTTAACAGACCCGTCCTGACCAGAGCAGAGGGGTTATTAAGGTCCATGTCATTGGAACGTTTCCCTTCGCTGGGAACAGGAAGGATTGCCCTCCTTTCTCCTACTACCCACAGTCCAGCCCTGGGACATTATCAAGAAAAAACAAAAACATAACTCCTTCACACAGACATCCCGCTTTATCTACAACAGAACACGTTATGGAGTAAGGAGAGAAGTAAACGCTTGCCATTTTTTTTTTTTTTTTAAGAGGTAGGGGTTGGGGTTTCAGTTGCCTCCTTTTAACTCTTTCTTCAGCACTAAGGACAAATTTCTGGCCTTATTAAGAGCAGAGAAAAACTTCTAAAGGCTTCCTAGAGCCCAGAAGTTCACACTATTCCTTCTTTTTGTTGTTAAAATAGAATGTTTGTAAAGGTTAAGGAAAACAGCTCTGCCTCTGAGGAATAATAAAACCAGATTTTTAAAGGTTCTTCCCTTTTTCTTTGTCTTATTAGATGAAGAGCAGCTAAATAACTAAATGTCAAGCTTTGTATGAAACTATCTTAATGCTGAATGAATGATTTTTCAAATGCTCTTAAAAACCCCTAAGATAAAAATTAGAAACCCTTGAAAAGATTAGTTTGTCACTACATACTAGAAGATTGCCCTGAATCCCAAATCTGAAGGTTTTGGGACAGCTTCATTCGACAAGCCAAGCTTTCAGACTTGGTAAATTCTGTAAGCCTCATCTTTCTTTTCCTTTATTGTTCTTTCAGAAAATTCAGTAACGAAGTTACTGAAAAGTAACAAGGTAGATGGAAAAAGGGTTAAATGGTAATAGAGTCAGAAGAACAAATTTTTTAAAGTTATGATGCTTTGCTCTCTTCTCACCCCAGTGTTCTCCTTTATTTTTAATTCTATATTTCTCATTAAATATGAGCCATGTGTTATCAGTTTTAAGCAGTTACTGAGGCTGCATTTTTTTTTTTCCATTTCCTGAGGCTTTGTCACCTTAGCTGTGAAATGGTAATGTAGCATTGCAAAAGATTTTCAAGCCTTCTGACATTGTAACTGTTCTCTATTTTTGCATTTCTCTCTGACCGAATTAATGAATCGAGGCTTGGAGCTAGGGAATGGCAGAGGTACAAGACCTAGGGGCTGGATGGAAAAAAAATACCAAACAACCAGGAGCCACAGTGGAAGGCGGCGTGTTGGTTTTCTAGCCCAGAGACTCCCCTTACCCAGAGCAGAGCCCCTCGGGGAAGCCTTACTGCTTCTCTTCACAAAGGCTCCAAACTGAGCTCCAGACTGAGACAGATGCCTTACCAAAGGTTTCTTCTCTTTCTCTTTTGTACTTAATATGCCAAACTTAGTTAATATTATAAATGTCGTATCTCAGATGTTTCATGCCAATTCAACTTCACTTTTCGTATATAACTACATTGAATAAATGTATACGCTTGTGTGGCCAGAAGGGAGATCAAATATTTTCCTTTTGCTACCTTCGTGATTCTATCTTCAATATTAATGTTGTACTCCAAATAGATCAGTTGAAGAAATTAATCAGCAAAGGAAAGAAAAAAATATTGTGTAAGGAAAATGAATTACAAACACAGGCTTATCCTCCTCAAGCTTACGGAAAACAGCTAACCAAACAGTGCTTCTGGTCAGGAAATGATCTTATTCATAAATACCGATTTAAATGTCATTCCTCCCCAGTGAGTTGGAGTTCTGCAAGGGCGAAGGTTCCTGATACATCCCAAGAACTTGATGGTGAACGACAGGCTCAGTGGCCTATGACTGCCAGCAGGAGCGCACCGTGGCAACCACTGGGGTGGATTTGGAGGATGCTCACCAGAATTATCTGGGAACAACTAACCCTGCGCCACCTCCCCTGCAAGAAACGACCACTCGCCTTCAGGAATCACCAAGTCTGGCCTCATCACGCGGAAAGAAATTATGGCAAGATATAGATGCAGACAGGATGATTTACGGAGTAATCAATATTTTTTTTTTTCCTAGCTTATTTTCTGTGACTTTTGACAGCAGGCTCTAATAAAAGTATGTGGGCAGTCAGATTGAAAGAATATGAAACTACTTGGGAGGTTTGGAGTCAGTTAACATCAAATTTGAGAGACTCTTCAGTGAGTGTTGGAAAGGAGCTACCAGCTGATATTTTCAAGAAATTGCCTGTATCACTCTAAACACAATTAATGCAAAGGTAATACTGTTCAGCTGCCAGGCTTGCAATGGTTGGGATTTTCCAAAAGTGAAGATTTTTCGACAACAATATTTTTATCGAAGACATTAATGTGGCCTCTTGTTCTCACTCATGATTTCTCTGATCTTATCAGAGGAAGCCGCTTGAAGAGATAAAAACATTACAAGCTGATGAAGCAGTTTCAGTGAGGCCAAAAAAGGGAGAAAAATGCCCAAAAAGGAATGATGAATATCCACAGAAATGTGATGCTAAAACCTTGCCAAAACTGTGATAAGTTGCACCTGCGTTCCACGGATGCAAATAAGGCCACACTAGACTAGAGGAGAAGAAAAAGACCGATGGTCCCGACCCTAAATATCAAGCACTAAAAATTCAGAAATGCAGCCGATATGGGCAGAGAGGCACATACACCAAGGGACCACCATGAACGCGTCGATAACTCCTGGTCAAATGCTGATAACCGTGCCAAGTATTAAAATCCTGTTAATGCAGTTTAATAAGCCCCAGGAGATTGCAGAGAAATAACGCTTTTAAACTAATACAGTCTTAATTATATATTGCGGCGCATTTCTGTTTTGTTTGTTTGTTTGTTTCTGTCTTGGGTGACAGAAGGAATATCTTCTGGTGAGAGAACGAAACCAAGACATAAATGTTCATTTACATTTTCATTCTGTGAAAGAACTATTTGAAAAAATAAGGCAATTTTGTGATTGGGACTGAGGTTCAAAATTTGAGTCAAGTTCTGACCGTGAGCAGGTTATACGCCAGTCCCTCCACCATCTACATAAAACACCTCTTAACCCATACACGTATGTTAAAAAATACAAGTATCAGCAGTCACGAGATACAGATGATGGAACACACGCATGTACGCAGCCAGGCATAAAGGAAGACTCTGAGGCACTTCCACGCACAGACAGACACACTGTGTAACTGAAAAAAAAAAAAAAAAAAAAAAAAAAAAAAAAAAAAAAAAGCAGAGAAATAAAACCGAAACGGTGACGTTTCCATGCTCAGGTACCCGCAGGCTGTTCTCTTCTTAGCTCAGTGTCAAAACCCACAGCTCCACCCAGCTCCCAGCTTCTGCCCGTGGTGTTTCAGACATCACGGACTCAACCACGTAGCTTGTTAGGGAGAAATGAAGCAGCGGCAGCTCTGCACATGTACGTTTGTTTAAGATTATTTTGAAATTCTGTATTCACCCAGGGTCATTATCATTACTTTCAGCTACAGCTACTGCATCTATAAAGCTGTAATTTTAATTTATTCCACGAGACTCTGACAGAGTGGCAAAACCAGACATAATTGGCTTGCTGAAGAAGAAAAAGCCGTGATGATACATGTAATAGATGTGCTGCAAAACAATGACAACACAGTATGGGGTTATAATAATAATAATACAAATAACCCCCTTTTAATAGGACTCAGTCTGCCACGCTCATTATTCTAGAGATTCTGCAGTCGACAATGCAGTGAAATGCAGACAGACGTGTAAACAGATGCAGCAGTGATGTATGTTTGCTGTCATTAATTCAACACAGGCAACTGACCTAGTCAAATAGCACTTAATGTTACATAAAATCTGCTGAGTGCTTTCTGAATGTACTCTGCTAGATACCGGTTTGACCATAACTGTATCTTATTAGAAATAAGTACAGATGCACCTCAAGTGTCTACTTGAAAAACTCTTATAAATAGGCCCAACTCTGCAATCAAGCTTCTGCTCTTAGGAGTGGAAGCTATACCATGTATTTTAAATTAGCAATTAACTAAGCTGTCATCCACAAAACAGCTGTTAGAAGAATGCGTTGAGACTGACATCAGTTGAGGTCCAGTTGAGGACTGTTTTGCAACTGAAAGGATAAAAGAAATGAAAGAGTTTTGCAATATATGAATTTAATTCAATGTGTAATCGTCTTCAGAGAAACAAAACTTTGCGGGACATTATGTATGAGGGACCAGCTTATTCACTAGGAGATGCTCTCCTTCATCAGAGAGCAGAAATTCCTGTGTGAAGAGACAGTAACATTCTTTTTCCTTCTAAGTAAACCTGAAAAGAAAAAAAGTGAGAAATAACAGAATGCTGCAAAGATGAAGTTAATGTGATAGAAAATGGTTTCAAATACATTGCCGAAGTTTATTCCCACCTACCCACAGCCAGAAAATATAATTGGTGAATGTAAGCAACTATTACCAAAAACCTAGAGGCCAATCAAGTAACGGTGACTTGCTACAGGAACCGCTGCAAACAGCACGGAGCTTCATGAAGCCGTGCCTATCTTCCCATGGTCATGTTGCCCCCCGCTTAGCCAGGTTGGATTTATCTAACCTGAAATCACATCTAGGCAGGACTCTTAAAGCTGGCTGTAGCCGTCCCAGGTCACGCCTGTGAGTCTTGCCCAGAAATGCACCAGACAATGAGCTCCCCACCAGGCCCCCGAGGCTGATAATGCACACCAATTTAAACCAGTTAAACATCTGTCGCTGCTTTATTTTTATCTCTTCAACTGCACCCGCACGCTATACCACTGTGTGACTTAATATGCAGGACACAGTAGTGATGGGACAAGCCCCACGCAGCAGGGGACAGCAGGTAGCCCCAAGGTCTCTTGCAGTGATCTGCTCCCACATCCATCACAATCCATTAACTAAGGGCAATCGCAAACACTGGTTAGTCCTCACAACCGACAGCAGACTCAGACCCACGCGGTACGAGGCTGTGACAGCATCCTCATTTGTTCCTCGCTATGAAAGGGGACATTCAGCCTCGTGCTGTGGTATTCAAGTTTTAAAATCCTTACCAACCTTGGTTCACAAGCATTAGAGACTGGTAACTCGAGTACACAGACAATGAATGACTGGTTACAGATGTTTCCACAGTTTTCATGGGGTCAAAAAAAAAAAAAAAAAAAAAAAAGAAGAAGACAGCAAGAGAATGCGAAGAAACATTTTTCAAGACAAGCAGCAAAATGCAGTAGTGAATGAGTGATGAGCATGCCAACGTGTCTGCCAAGGAACTCTTGGGAGGAAGGAGAACTTACACGTGGGGAAACCTTTACTGTGCACACGCTGCATCTATCGTAGTTACAGGCACTTCCAACAGCACAAAGGTTAGGTTCAAGGGGAGTTCCGGGGAGAGGTAAAGATGAGGAGATAACTAGCAAAGATTCATCTCTGCAAGCATTTTCGACAACAAACCAATTATCTGTACGTTCATTATAAACTCTCACCATGCTTCTGAGGCCCAACCTCACATCGTTGGCCATCTCCAGAGAGAAAGGGGAAGGACGATGTGCGGAGAGAAAAAAAGATCAAGATAGTGAGGCTAATAATGTAAATTAATATTTCGCTCTTTTTAGCAAACGGATACTTAATATTTTTTATACTTCTGGTTTGAAATAGCAAATTCTAGCCACTGCAATCAAAGAGGATGGCCCTGAAGATGGTGTTGTTTTCGGAATTCAACGACATCTAAAATGACCCTGCGAGGTAACAGATTATTCTTTTATGAATTAAAGATTAAATTCACGGAGGTTCTGTTCCAAAACTCACTAAAATTTAATGGATTCTTTACATTGCTTTACACAGCTTTTAAATTCTAAATTATTATCTAGTACATAAGGGATGTAATTTTTCACTCTACTGAGCCCAAAGCAAAGCAATGCTACCCTTTAACGCTCTGATTTACTCCGCTGGAGCATCATGCATAACAGATTGCTCTATCATCATCCTTCACCATTCCAGCCTAGTCAAATCCAAATCTCAAAAGTTCCCATTTTTTTTCCTATTATGCCAGGAGTACAAGAGGGACTTGGCACAGGAGGCACAAAGAGTTTCTTCTGCAACGTTGTTTGATGCCCAGCAATAGTTCTCCATTTCACCACCGCGAAAGCCTTTAAAAACGCTTACTCCCGACTATTAGCCACAAATGTTTTAATTAAAACTGGATTTTGAAAAGGTTTCTGCACACCCATTTAGGGTTGTATTTTGGAAGCTGCCCAAGCTCCTTTTTCAACGTGAAAAAAGATATGGCCAGCCAAATTATTAAAATAATTCAGCATAACAAAAATCTGGCCACCAGTTTCCCAAAAGAGAGATTCTGGATACTGAATGCTTCTGAAGAAATAGTACTTGTTATGTTGAGGAAGTCTGAGTAGGTCTTTTCCATATTTGTGCTTATAAATATGGTTCTGAACTTACGGCAAATCATAACCAAACCATCAAGTTTGGTTTGGGGTTTTTTTAATATATGTATTTTACACAGTATTAATACCTGTGATTCCCTAATATTTTGCTAATATTGAGCACGGGTTATTTCAGCTATTAGAAGATTATTTAAATGCGATGGATAAATAGATTTGTAAATTGATTTTTAACATTATTGTAGGGTAAGTTCAATCTTCAGCAAATCACTTCAGTGTAACTTCCAGTTCATGCTTTATACAAGGAACTCAGGTTTGATCCTCTACCACTAAAATGAATGGAAGTGTTTTGGTGATCTGGGTGAGATCAGGATCACAAACCCTTATTTATTTTTACATACATGTTTAAAAGCTTTAGTCGGATCAAGGCCTAAAGCATTTTACAAACCACAAAAATGTGAAGAAAAAAAAAAAAACAAACAAAAAACAAACCCTGAGAAAACAGTTACATTTTATCGTTTTTATTTTAAACTTTTACTGATGTCGTTATTACTGAATATTCAATCCCCTCTCAAAAAGTCAACTTTAAAATACCACTTTAGGCTGAGATAAAATATACAAACATTAGCTCTGTAAACATTGCGTGAAGAATCTAAAAGACTCTGACACATTAAGGCTCCAATTCAGTAAAACACGTAAGCTCATGCCAAGCACATGAGTAGCCACAGAAGTTCTCTGGGATAGGTGATGTAAGTACTTAAATCCATTACCAAACTGGAACTTTAAACAGGTTCTTTCCTTCTGCCTTCCCTGCATGGCAACATTCATTTTTTTAAGCTTATTCCATTTAATACTTCACTCCCCCCTCACCAAGGTTCATGCTGAGTAAATCCAGATTATATCCCTAAAAACCTGATTAGCAGAGGTGTCTTACATGATTTATATCAGAGAAAAATTAAACCAAACACAAAAATGCCTTCCTCGCAGCTAGGGAAATACGCTGGAACTAAGTCTGAATGCTTCAACACTGCTTTGGGTAGCAGAAGCCTGAGCCCAGTGTCATTAATCACAGGGATGACATGTCATTTTTAAATCCATTACAGCCTTGACCTAAATTGTTGGTGATCAATAGCAAGAGTTGACTGATTTCATTGGATTCTGGATGAGCACCGTGTCTGGGACCAGATATTACAGGTATTCACTGCTAGGGACCTCTGAGGAGAAGATCTCCCTTCTTCACTTGTGTGAAGCCAACACCGAGTTAGCTAAGATGCCCTTCCAGCTATTACCAGTGTCTGTACAAGGCAATTTATATATTACATCCTCCTCTTTTTCTTTTTATTTTCTTTAACTGATTCTTCCAGCTTATACTCCATCATCAAACAACATTAAAATTTGCCTTCTGGGATGACTGATTCCTAACACCGCTTTGCTGATTTTAAAGTGCTAGTTAAATGAAGTTTCTCAGCTTATTATATTCCAAGCTTGTTTGGAACTGAATTTCTAGATGGCATTAAAATGCATTATTTTGCCAGTGTTTACATGATTTATTTTCCCCAAAAAAACTTTATTTATTCTTAGAAAAGTAGAATACAATACAGTGGTACAAACAAATGATCATTTATATGCAACTGAGCAAAAAAATGTACAAAGATTTCAGACATGTCATAAAAATACAGAAAAAAAAATAATTTAAAATAAAACCAAGATAAAATATAGAGGACATGTGATGAAGGGAAAATAAAATATCGGTTTGATGATCTCATGTTTCCTTTCACTCTCAAAAGGAACCATCCTGGGGGAAATCAAATTGTCAGATAAAAAGATAACAGCACAAAGGAGACGAGGTAAATGAAGTGACACAGAAAAAGACAAGGAAAGGGAAAATAATTGTGAAAGCATAAGACTCTTTAATAATCAAAACCAACACTGCTGACACCATGCTGAAGGTACGGAAGCCTCGACTGCCATGGAATAATATCTGGTTGGAGTGAAGTGAGATGAATAGAGTGTAAACCACAGTTCTTAGCAGTGACAAATTTTGATCCACAGGACTCGTATCTGCTAGCTCGTATTTTCCCTTCTATGGTACACGGATTTCCATAGTCTTCTAATACCAGAGGAGAGTCCTAGTGGGTAACTTTCATGCCTGCTAAAGCTGGAAATATGAATTTTTGAGGTAGGCTGGAATTTATCTATCATCAAACATGGAAACAGGGGAACTTAAGGCAGATCACACATGCCTGCCCTGTCCAGTTACAGGTTTTCTTTCTGTCATCCTGCATACTGCCAAGATATTTGTGATAATTTTTAGAGTGATTCTACTACCTCCCACTATCCTATAGAACGAGAAAGTATTGCAGAGTCTAGACTTTTTGAGATTCAGTAACATTTAAAGCATTATTAGGATGGGAGTAGCAAGAAACGGGAATGACAAGATGCTGTTGCTAGTACACGAGTCTGTTCTCACTCTGGACAGTACCTGAATTGCTGCCCCCTTTTAATAATTTAAAAATAAAAAGTGAGAACAGAAAAGTGAGAAGAGTCTGTTTACTAAAATTATTTTGCAGAAGCACGAGAAGGTTAAGAAATCACAAACTAAGCTGTGAAGGCTGTGATTGTTAATGAATTACAAATTTGACACGTGTTATGAGGCAATGACTAGTAGCAACTCAGGAGGTGGAAAATTAAGCTGTTCCTTAACCAGTAAAAAACCCCAAATCTTCACGCACTACAAAGCTGCGAACACACTGGGTATGGTTTCTGGAAAAACTCACGTTGCTAGGAGTAGCACAGCTGGTTTGAAGAAAATACATTTCTGATTTATAATAGGCATTAGCCAAGCTAAGAATCAATCAAAGAATTTACTGAGGTCATTCTAAAATTGTCTTTCAGGAGCTATATTAACATTAAGTGAATCAAATTCACCTTTTATGGAAGACGGAACAAGTAGCAGTTCCCAGCAAAAATTAAAAAAAAAAATCATACTGTATAATTGACTAAATTTCTTTTATGGGGCGTTGTCCATTAATTTGATTTTAGTGAACACATCATACAGGGAAAAATACAGGAATTCAACTTTCTTTCCATGAATAATATGGTATTCTATCTTTGCTTCTAAGTTTTCATTGTTTTGGAGTATAGTATGTGGATGAACTAGGAGTGCTTTCTTAATAGTTCTGAAGAGATCTCAGAAGTCATAATCTTCAAGGGGAACAGTATATCACAACACGACACAGCTGATAAAGCACGGGATGCTGGGGAGTCCATTGCAGTAAGCAGCTCCACTTGATCATAATGACAGTGAAGATATGAAAACTGCCTTTCAGTCTGTCAAACAGAATAAAAGACACCAGCAACCTGATGAAGTGGTAAAGCCCTTGGCAGTTAAATGATCCAAATTATATTGTAGCTCACTAGGATCATGGAACAAATGCATAGGACTCATATCAAAAGATACCAAAATCCAGAGATAATTATTGAAACTCTATATTTCTATGGTACCAGCTTTCAATAATTTTATCGGATGGCTCAGTTATTCAGAAGGGACAAGGAGTGACTGAACAGAGATTCCAGAATAAATATTAATTTCCATTTTATATTTTACAGCTCCCCAAATTTCTGTAGCTTACCAGAGTCAAAAGATTAGATATCACTACCTCAGGCTGAGTAGCAGCTGTGTAAATTCAAGATTTTAACACATAAAGATAGATGTATGAGCTGGCTAAATTTCACTGTGCGTATAGGATATCCGGGTATTAACAACAATTAGGAGAGGACGATTATAAATTCTAGAAAATCTTATTTGAAGAAGCTGACAAAATGTAAATTTTCCTGTATTAGAAAATAATAAGGACATTTAAACATCACTAGGTATCTTTCCAACTTTAAGAGATTACAAACCTGAGCCCTAACAGAATTAATGCGGATGCAGCTATACGTTTTATCCTGATGTTGGAGCTAATCTTTCTTTTGTTAAACTGATCTGATAAGGATTAAATGTAGAATTAAAAGGGATAACATTAAGATTTTTACAAACATTTTTACAAATCTGCTTCAAATAGAGTAAAAGTATCTTTTTTTTTTTTTTTTTTTTTTTTTTTTAGGAGGCATTTCTTTACAGAACGGGTTGTTAGACGTTGGACTGGGCTGCCCACGGAGGTGGTGGAGTCCCCATCCCTGGGGGGTGGTTTAAGAGTAGGGTCGACTTAGCGCTGAGGGATCTGGTAGTTGGGAACTGTCAATGTTGGGTTAATGGTTGTACTAGATGATCTTCAATGTCTTTTCCAACCTAGATGATTCTGTGATCTTGTATCAAGATCCCGAAAATCAACCCAGCCTTCACTCTTCTACCAAGAAAATCCACAATTCCTTGAATGATATTACAGAATTGTGAGCCAGTGGCAAATGTGGGAAAGTAAAGGAAGTCTATCTTTCCTGTAGGTTTATCTTAGTGAACTGACTTAATGGGTAGAAATAATATTATTTCTTTTAATTGAGTGGGGCAGATTTCCTTCATGTGTGAACAATGTAAATAATATTGCTATTGGAAGTAGTCTGCATCTGACATAACTCTTCCTATAAAGTCTCTACAAAGGTAGATCAGATTAATGTCAAAGCCCAAGTTATGCTGTCAGGTTTCACAAGACAGGCTTCATATTCCCCCCAGTTACATAGTTAACGCTACAGTTTTCCATGCTCGTTGTAATTAAGAGCTGTGATTTATACCACACTGACATCTGAGTCCCTGAACACCTCCGTGTATTTGGGGGCTAACCTCCACAAAAGCCAGAGGAATACAAAGTGGAAGAAGAAAAGATGACAAACTGGCAAATATCAACACTGTAATATCAGCTGGAAACGCTTCTCACAGCTAATGAAAGCTGCACACGTTCTCCCAGCCACAGACTTCGCAGACCTTCAACATACAAAATAAAGAGTCTCTAAAAAAATCCTTTCTCTCTCTCTCCAGCAAGTTGAATGGCTGCCCAACCCCGTCAGAACTCTGCCAGAGCAGTCGTGCATCCATGTTCCCAACATCTCTCTGGTTTCTGAGTTGGCAGCTGTTGGCGTGATACAGCCTACCGAGCAGGCCAAGCTACAGAGAGAACGTTACACAAGGGCTCCGCAAGTCATGACAACGCCTCATTCAGTCCTGATTCCACTGTCATCTTCTAGAGTGGGTTTATAAAGCTCCTAACAGGGCAAGGGTCTCAGAAGCCAAACGCTGCCTCCTTGTCCTTCACCTCACGAGGTGACTTCTGCAGGAGGCTACGCCAAAGTCTAATCTTAGGCTGTGAGAAAATCAGCCCCTTCTGTGACCCTTCACAGAAAAAAAAATGGTTGGGAGACAACCCAGCTCCGACAATTTTTAGGTGACACCACACCAGTGTTCTGCCAAAGCCTTCCCAAAAGCAGAAAAAAACCCAGCAGTGTGACTTAAGTTTGCAGTTGTTCCCGAACTTGGGTGGAGTATCCAATGCAGCCAACATTTTCCATACGCCGTGCATGCTGCAGCTCTGTTACTGTGGCGATGGCTGCAGAAATGCTGGACAATGCCCAGCGACAGACAGGAGACAGCCTGAACACACCGCTCACCCAGGCCACATTCGCTTTCGGCCCCCTTTTTGCTCAGGCACTGTTCCTGACTCAAGCAGAGGAGTCCCTCACACTCAACGCTCCCCTCGTCCCTGGATCCTGCCCGTTCCAAACGGTTCTGAAACTTGGTTTTCCTAAACACGCTGAAAATCTTCAACCAACCTACCCCATCGCTTCCGAAACTTGGCTTCCTCTATGAACTGCAGGCGCCACCAGCAATCCTGCTTCGATCCCTCCTCGCTAGCAGTACATCAATATCTCTGCCCACTCATCTACCAAGAAATATCGGCTGCTAATTTATTATTGACTCGTTTGCTGATTCCTGCTGTGGTCGCCCTGAGGCGGGTGGGCCCCGGCGCCCCACAGCCCCCGGCGCGCCCCCTCCCGGGCCCGGCGGCCATTACCCGC